CGATGGAATCAATGCAACATTGCCCGCTGACCACTCTACCCTCAACAGCGGAATCTTCGGTTACATCAACTACCTGGTGGAGAAGGACAGGAAGTACATTCTCGACACACTGATCAATGGTAAGTGGCACACCCAATTCACTGTCCTCACTAGCTCTCTGCCTACGGGTCTGGTTCTGTTGAGGACGGCGGGGTTTCACAATGACGACAGCTGACCTTTTGCTTTTTTCCTCCCTGTCCAGGTCTGCAACGCCTAGAATACCGCGGCTACGACTCCGCCGGTCTCGCTGTCGACGGTGACAAGAAGAACGAGGTCTACGCCGTCAAGGAGGTTGGCAAAGTCGCCTCTCTCAAGAAGCTCGTCGAGGAGCAGAACTTCGACCTCGGAAAGGTCTTTGACTCGCACGCCGGTATCGCCCACACACGATGGGCGACCCACGGTCCCCCCTCGCGTGTCAACTGCCATCCCCACAGGTATGTTTGTCTTGTCTGGCTGCTCAATGCACCCTTTCAGGCCCGCCACTACACTCTGCTCGTGCTGACGCCCCCACCTCCAGGTCTGACCCCAACTGGGAGTTCTCCGTCGTCCACAACGGTATCATCACAAACTACAAGGAACTCAAGACCCTGCTCGAGAGCAAGGGCTTCAAGTTCGAGACGGAGACGGATACTGAGGCTATTGCCAAGCTCACAAAGTACATCTACAACGAGCACCCAGACCTGAGCTTCCCATCGCTCGTCAAGGCTGTCATCAAGGAGCTCCAGGGTGCTTTTGGTCTCCTTGTCAAGTCTGTCCACTACCCCCATGAGGTTGTGGCTGCCCGCAAGGGTTCTCCCCTTGTCATTGGTGTACGGACACAGAAGAAGATGAAGGTCGACTTTGTCGATGTCGAGTACAACGACGAGGGTGCTGCTCTCCCCGCCGAGAGCGCTGCCCACAACGTTGCCTTGAAGAAGTCGAACAACTTGCTCGCTCCCCCAGACAAGTCGCTCCTCCACCGATCGCAATCTCGCGCTTTCCTCTCGGACGACGGTGCCCCAATGCCCACCGAGTTCTTCCTCTCCTCCGACCCATCTTCCATTGTCGAGCACACCAAGAAGGTCCTGTACCTCGAGGATGACGACATTGCACACATCCACGAGGGCTCGCTGAACATTCACCGCCTGCACAAGGATGACGGATCCTCCAACGTCCGTACCATCCAGACCCTCGAGATCCAGCTCCAGGAGATCATGAAGGGCCGCTTCGACCATTTCATGCAAAAGGAGATTTTCGAGCAGCCCGAGTCTGTCGTCAACGCCATGCGTGGACGTCTCGACCCTGTCAACAAGACCGTCACACTTGGTGGTCTCCGCCAGTACATCTCCACCATCAGGCGATGCAGGAGGATCATTTTCATTGCCTGCGGTACTTCTTACCACTCCTGTATGGCTGTTCGTGGTGTCTTTGAGGAGCTTACCGAGATCCCCATTGCCGTTGAGTTGGCCTCTGACTTCCTCGACCGCCAAGCACCTGTCTTCCGTGACGACACTTGCGTCTTCGTCTCGCAATCCGGTGAGACTGCCGACTCGCTCGGTGCTCTCCGCTACTGCTTGGAGCGTGGTGCCCTGACTGTTGGTATTGTCAACACTGTCGGTTCCTCCATCTCCCTCCTCACCCACTGCGGTGTCCACATCAACGCCGGTCCCGAAATCGGTGTTGCCTCCACCAAGGCCTACACCTCGCAGTTCGTCTGCATGGTCATGTTTGCCCTATCGCTCAGTGAGGACCGTGCCTCGAAGCAGAAGAGGCGGGAGGAGATTGTCGAGGGTCTTGGCAAGATCTCTGACCAGTTCAAGGAGGTGCTCAAGCTCGACCAGCCTATCAAGAAGCTCTGCGAGAGGTTCAAGAACCAGAAGTCTCTGCTCCTGCTCGGACGTGGCTCTCAGCACGCCACCGCGCTTGAGGGTGCCCTGAAGATCAAGGAAATCTCATACCTCCACTGCGAGGCTGTCATGTCTGGAGAGCTCAAGCACGGTGTCTTGGCTCTGGTCGACGAGAACCTCCCCATTGTCATGATCCTGACCCGAGACGACATCTTTGCCAAGTCGCTCAACGCATACCAGCAAGTCATTGCCCGTAGCGGTCGTCCAATCATCATCTGCAACGAGAACGACCCCGAGTTCCCTGCTGACAAGACTGACAAGATTGAGGTACCCAAGAACGTCGATGTTCTTCAGGGTCTCATCAACGTCATTCCTCTGCAGCTCATGTCATACTGGATGGCAGTTGCCGAGGGCGTCAACGTTGACATGCCCCGTAACCTTGCCAAGTCTGTGACTGTCGAGTAAGCAAGCGTTTGTGTAGTTTACATGGCGTTCTCTGGGCTTAGAGAAGTTATGTATCATTTGGGATTTGGACTAGATGTGGGATTTATGAATGGAAGCTCTGGACGCAGCTTATGTGTATGGCATTGAATTTTACGATATCTAGGATGCAGAGCGATGCGTTTTGCGCAGCTTGTGGTACTAGACGAAATGAACACAATATCTCTTCATTACTTGTATTCCTTTTGCTCATATGTGGTACCACATGGTATTGATTGCGTGTATGGGAGGGTGATGTGGGTGCTCGCATGGGTCGGTGAGGGTCTAGTCACATCGCGGCGTTTCACCCCCCTGGTCCGATGACAGCATTGTCAGAATTGGGGATCCCTGTCTCTCGGTTGCGGGGCAGCCTCATGGTAGTGCGCCGGTTCCTGCATCCTTGAACCCGCTCTCAAGGCCAAGCTTACGATACCCCGACGGTTCCAGAGCTACCTGCGCATACTTCTTCCTCCTCTAAACTTCTGTTACATACAATCGGATATATACGGAATTTTACCATGGCATCCCTCAAAGGTCCCGGCGCGCCAAAGACATACGATGGTCCGTATCTCTCGAATGCCAATGCCAACCCCGCCCCCACCACCACTACATCCTTCACCCGCCCTCAGGAGCTCCATGCTGACGAGATACGAACAGGTTCTGGACTGCGCATTGGTATCGTTCACGCACGATGGAACACCAAGATTATTGATGCACTGCTCGAGGGCACAAGGAAGAAGCTGAGGGAAGCGGGTGTCAAGGATGAGAATATCGTTGTGCAGGATGTGCCTGGGAGCTACGAGCTGCCGTATGCTGTTAAGCAGTATGTGGATCATGGAGAAAAAAAAGGAAGGAAAGTTGAAGCTAACAGTCAAATCAACAGACTATACTCAGCATCCCAGATCCAATCCTCCAACACAGGCGTCGTAGGCGCAGCAGCCGACCTTCTTGGCTCGACATCCGATCTGACGGCGCTCACCGGACAGTCAGCTGCCAAAGTATCCAACCAGCCGTTTGACGCTATAATCGCCATTGGCGTGCTTATCAAGGGAGAGACTATGCACTTTGAGTACATTGCCGACGCAGTCAGCCACGGACTCATGAGGCTGCAGCTGGACAACAACGTGCCCGTCATCTTTGGGCTGCTGACGCTATTGAGCGACGAGCAAGGACTCATGAGAGCGGGAATTGGCGGAAGCGACGGCAAGTCTGGACATAACCATGGAGAAGACTGGGGGAGCGCAGCAGTCGAGCTAGGTGTTAAGAGGAAGGGGTGGGTCGAGGGTAAATTTGTCGAATAAAGTATTGTGAATGGAAAAGATGCGCATAGCTTGTGAGAGCTGGACGCACGCAGAGACAGTTTCTGCTAGTATATACTACAAAAAAAAATCCAAGAGTCATTTGTGACACAAGCATGGACATTTCTCAATTGCTGACAGACAAGGTCAAACTCTATTGTAGCAACTGCGCATATTACGTTCTGACACAATGCGAGCATTGGATTTGCCCTAGGATCATGTTCCAGTAGCCTCCGATATGCTAGTTTTGGTCTTAGCGGTTTTTTTTCTACACCTGCGCCCTTCTGGTCAAAGTAAGAACCACGCCACGTTAGTACATGGAGAGTCACGAGCCAGCCTTCATAAACTACGCGCATGTAGCGTCAAGGTATGTTTCCTCCAGCCTTAGACTGCTTCTTCTGTGCTGCGCAGTTTTGGTATCTTCCAGCCGGGCTGTGCGTATATGTGGCAGTGCTAGTGTGGCAACCGGCGCAAGGCGATGGCGATGACGCTGTCAGAGTTGGCAACGGGCGGGACGTGCTTTGGCACAGTTTGGTGCGCAGATGCGAAATTCAGTGTCTGGGTAGTATTTTCAGGCGATTTCTGATGTTGGAGTTTATGCGACCGTGATGGCTGTGCCGTAAAGGTGCATTGTCAGAGGGCAGTCGGGTTGATGAAGGATGGTTGGCAACAAGAGCACTCTCCTTTTCTCCTATGGGCCGCTAGCTTGGCAGCCGGGATCCGCAACCTCACCTCGCAACCTCATATTCCTCAAAGACTGCCTTCACTCAATACAAGCCCCATCTGTGTGAGCGGAGCGCTGTGGACTGGATCGCCCATCTCGTCCGTTTGCCTTTTCCATCTCTTTTCCTCTTTACCGCCCCTGTCCGGCCCTCCTGACACGTCCTCAGTACGCGGGTGCGCGTTGTCCCATACAACCCTGTTGCAGACTTGCAGCTGCACCGAGTACACCCAACTCGCAGCGCCTCAACCCACCTTTCGTCCATCACTCGCCGTCACACCAGCATGGGGGGAGCATACACGTGCTGATATACAAAGTCGATTGGGATTGAGGTGCGCTCTTGCGGCGTGACCACAAACTGCTTCTCGATACCAGGTCTATGCTAGTAGTCCTACGCGGCGAAAAAGACGACAGGTGACTGCGGCAGCTAGTTTTGTGCCGCCGGCTCACTTATTTTCTTACTTCCCGCCTTCGAGCACCGTGGCGACGACCGTGGGGGACACGCGCGGCCTTGGGGACAAGAATACAGATTTGCCCAGAAACAATGCGCAGCGCCCAAGCTATCTGCTAGACGACGTTGACTCGAATCCCTCCACCCCTACGCTTACCTCGTCCATACCCTCCGCCCCCTAGACCATGTCGCGCTCTGGTCACAACAATTCACTGCACGCCCTCACACCCTTGACCAGCTCAGATTCTTCTCCGCCTGGCAAGTTGCCCAGCCCGCGGTCTTCCAAGCTCTCACATGAGACGATGCACGCGACCTCATCCTCCCTACGCGCCGCCCCATCGAGCGCATCCAACAATGTCGCCGACACCATTACACCCATAAACACTCCGCCCGAGTCACGCAGATCCGTCTTCCCGGCCGACGGCGTGCTGGGCCAGCGCTCCACCTACGATGCACAGCTTGACCCAAAACTCGATAGACGGGCGAGGGCGAAGGGAACGGCGAAATATAGTACAATACTGGACAAGGTACGTGAAGGCTACATATACATACACACATAGATGTGGTCGCCCTGTGACGCTAAGGCTAACTTGACTTGTGTTACAGGGCGACGCATCTCCTCCTCCCGACCCGCGCCTGGCCATTGCCGGCTATACCACCGGGAACTATGTCATTAAGACTTCTTTCACAGGTGCCCCGAAATCGAAACTCAGGATAGCGCCCTATGTAGCCAAGCCCTACTCTTTCGACCAGCGCATATCATGTGGTCCAGGACCTGCGACCCAAGTGGTCGTCACAGGATTTGATCCTCTGACTCCAGATGTCCAGCTCCGCAGTTTCTTCTCCGCCTACGGTGAGGTAGAGACTGTGCACAACCAAGTACACCCCGACAATGGCAGTCCACTTGGGATATGTTTGGTCAAATTTCGCGACACTCCGCCCGGTCGTGGCACTACTGGTATGAAAGCCAGTACCTCGGCAAAAAGAGCTGAGCGAGAAGGCACCAACCAGCGTCTTGCTCAGCACACGATCAAGGTACAATCGGATCGCGAAGGTCGAAGATGTTCAAAATTGGTGGATGTAGCAGTGCAGCAAAGCCGCAAGGAAGAAGAGAAGCTACGAGCCAAGTATGCTACGAAAACAGCCGCGCCCACCGCTCCTGCAAACTTTGACCTGCCAGCCAATGTTCCAAAGGGACCCTCTGGGAAGGGCGCTCGTCCACCGATGCCGATGATGCGGGAACCGTTGACACGAAAAGCAGCGCTTTCGTACCTCATCGAGCGAGAGCCGATCAAACCCACGCTGAAACGAAAGCCTTATATCTTCATCGCACACGCATACGTACCTGTCCTCAGCACCACGATTGAACATTTGAAGAAGCGATTGAAGAACTTCCGGTGGTCTTCGGTACGATGCGACCAAACAGGTTATTATGTGACATTTGAAGAATCGAAGCGCGGCGAGGACGAGACGGTTCGATGCTACAAGGAGTGCCACATGCAGGCTCTGTTCACCTATGTCATGAACATGGAATGTAACCAATATGGCGATCCCAACTATGAACGAAGTCCTAGTCCCGAGCGTGTAATTGCCGACAAAAAGCGAAAGGCTATGGAGAAGCGAATAGAAGAGGAAGAGGCAGAGGACCTGGAGTGGGAAAAGAAGCAGAGGGCAGACTCACTGGACCCTGTACGGGCTGCGTTGGACGTTCTGAAGCAGGAGTTGCAGGAAAAGCTTCTTGGAGACATCAAGACTAAACTTGCCGCGCCTACGATACTCGAACTACTGGACCCTGAGTTGCACGTCGAGAAGCGCCGAAAGTACAACATCCCGGGTCCGCCAAAGAAGGACGAGGATGTTCGACCCCCAGCGCTGCTCGCTCCAGGCTTTGATGCTTTCGGTGCAGGTACTCCGCGAGGTCGCAATGGAGGCCTTGGTGGCCGTGGTGGTCGTAGAGGATTTGGTGCTTATGACCCCAGCACGAGACGTGGAAAGAAACCTCCGAAGGTTGTCAATGCGTTTGCCGACGAACGAAGAAAGGCATCTGCGCCCAAGCCTCGTGTGGCTCGTGGTTTGCATCGCCAAATGCTTGAAATGTTTGAACCAGAAGAATCCGATGACGAAAACCGCAGCCAGTTGACACGCGGCACCGAGGAGCAAGAGAGCAGACCTATTAGCCGAGCTCCTTCTACGGACATCGAAGATGAAGTGGAAGAGTCGTCGAGAGCTCATCGTGCCAAGCGACGTCGCATTGAGACTGGTTGGGGTGAAGAGAGTGATGAGGAGATGGACGATTCGCACGCGAGAAGTTTGCTTGCTCACTGTATTCACAAAGACCCTGAAAACATGGCGGAGAAAGAGCTGGAACAAGTTCTCGCAATTCTCCCACGCTCATCGCCAATCTGGAAGAAGGCCGACAAAGCGCTCAAGGGTTTCAGAAGGCTGCGGAAGATTGAACAAGAGGCAGACGTCATCTTTGGTGTCGAAGGAAGCCCGATGGACAAGACGGAGCCCGAAGTAATTGTCACTCAAGATGAAGAGGCCAACAAGTCTATCGAGACTACAGAACTTCCCGAAACACTGACATCGCTCAAGAAGAAGGCTGCCAAGCCAAAGAGAAAGACCAAGAAGCAACTTCAGGAAGAAGCAAAGGCTGCAAAGGTGGAAGTTACGGAGATTGAAGTACCTGCGGAAGAGGAGGCACCTGAAGTCAAGGAGGTTGCGGAGATCGCTGAAGAGGCAGTGGTTGAGGAAACTACTCCAGAGCAAGATGAGCGGGCCTCTTCTGTCTGCTGGAGCATATCCCATGACATACCTCGCAAGACAGTTGATGACGACTTTAGCGTTGTCATGGACATTGATGGTTGGCAACATCTGCTCAAGGATGAAGAAGATTTGCGTCTTCTCAAGCAAGCCGTTGAATCTATCGCTCCCGCCAGTATCGGAGACGCTCAATCGTGGGCCTGGAAGCAAAAGTCCATTAAGCATCTCAACCGTAATGGCCAGGAGGGTGTTTCCCGCACTGAGACCAAGATTGAAGGATACTACGTCCCCAACGCAACTGGCTCAGCTCGTACAGAAGGTATCAAGAAGATTCGCGAATCCGAAAAGTCGAAATACCTGCCTCATCGTATTCGCGTACAAAAGGAGCGCGAAGAACGCCAACGTCGTGCCAAGCAAGAAGAGCGAAGCGTCGTGTCGGTTGAAGGCTTTAAATTCCAGACAAGTGCCAACAAGGCGTCGACCGCAAACTCGCGTGCCAACCGTGCCAACAACCGCCGCATGGTCAACGACATTAATATCTCCAAGAACCTTTCTGGAGCTGAGGGTGACGCTCTCCGCTTCAATCAGCTCAAGAAGCGCAAGAAGCTGGTCAAGTTCGACCGTTCAGCCATCCACAACTGGGGTCTGTACGCCCAGGAACCGATTGCCGTCAACGACATGATTATCGAGTACGTTGGTGAAAAGGTCCGACAGCGTGTGGCCGATCTCCGAGAAGCCAAGTACGACATGCAAGGCGTGGGATCAAGTTACCTATTCCGAATTGACGAAGATACGGTCATTGATGCGACAAAGATGGGCGGTATTGCCCGTTTTATCAATCACTCTTGCACGCCCAATTGCACAGCCAAGATTATCCGCGTCGACAATACCAAGCGTATTGTCATTTATGCGTTGAGGGATATTCAGTCTGGTGAGTTTTATTCGCTTCCATCTTTAAGATTTGTCTTTACTAACGCATATCCCCAGACGAGGAACTCACCTACGACTACAAGTTCGAGCGTGAAATCGATGCCACGGATCGTATTCCTTGTCTCTGCGGCTCAATCGGTTGCAAGGGCTTCCTTAATTAGGATATTTTCAACGGTACATACCTCCCTCCCCCTTGTCTCCCCCCACGTATACCACTTCCGCCCTTCTTCTGGTATTGCACTCTTCTTCTTCCCCCTTTTTCAACGCTCATCAATCAAATGCTTCAACGCTACTCTGTCCCCCATCATGCCCGGCCTGCTCTGTACTCTACCTTGCATACCTGTTTATATATATTACCTCCTTTTTTTGCGCTCTCTTTTCAACCCACATTAGAATTTTCAGACACGCGTTTAGGCGGACTGTGCGATGGTCCTGTATACTGCGTGGCCATGGCGATGGTGGTTGCGCTTTCTTGCCATCCACCTTGTTTTTTGTCTTTTATTTTCGTCTTCTCTCTTGATTCATTGGCACCACCTCCTCCTTCGATTTACGAGAGGGGGTATCAGGCCGCTTTGAGGAGTTTGTTCTTTGCGAAGGGAAAAACTTCATGTCCATCTGGGGGTTAATGAGGTGTGGCGATGATGTGGGTGGAAGGGGAGGAGATGATGGTGTAAGAAGATAGGCGAGGAGGGAGAAGGAAAACGGGAGGAGGATGTCTAAAAGCTAATACGAATCCAAACATTACACTGCTTCTACCTACCATTTTTTATACTACCTGTGTTGCTGAGGTTGTTTTCTCTCGCAGATATGGTCTGTCCCCCTTTTCAATACAGACACTCATATTCATGTCTCTTGTCATGCTTAAAAAGATAGATATCAACAAACTACGCCATTTATGCATTCCTCTCTATCCCTCTTTCATACCGCTCATCATACACCTATTGAATCCTTTACACGCACCTCCCGCCTTCCCCCCCCCTTTTTTTTTTCCCATTTTCCATCTCCCGCCGACCCAAAAACTCCCCTACGTACGCTATGCAAATAAACCCGCTTTGATGCAAACCCTTCTCTATTCAGTCCTAGCAATCCAGTACCCCCATCCACCTTCCCACCTCTATCCCACCTCTATCCCGGGCCCCCACCATCCTCACCCACCCCTCGACGCAGAATCCCCAGGACCCATATACCAATCAATCGGCAAACCCAGCGTCAACGCCGTACTATCCGGATACCTAACCTCGGCAGCACTCCGCGTCGTAGTCTCAGTCGCACTCTCAGTCCTAAAAAAACCGCACAAACGAATCAAAAAATCAGTCCCCAACTCAGACAGGAAAAGAAGAAACAGAAAACACGACGCAAGGCAACGCACCTCGTACTCTCCATCTTGCCCTCTCGCTGTCTGCGCAGCACCTCGAGTATAACACTCGCTTCCTGACTGCCAAAGTGCATCGCCATATTCTCTAGTTGGGTGACGCCCCAGTCGCGACTCTGGAGGGGCGCATGGGGCGCCCAGGCTACGATGTAGATGGCGAAGATCATGACGTAGACGTCTAGTGTGTGCGGGACTGTGTGTGTATGCTGTTTGTCTGGGTTTTCGCCGCCGAGCAGCTTGTGGCGGGCGGCGTAGGAGCAGTGTGTCATGTGAGGTAGTGAGGCACAGATTTCGCTGGTCATTTGGTGGATTGTTGTGCTTGCTTTGGAGGCGGTTAGGAGGGTGGAGGGGGAAGAGGGGGTCAAGGCGAGGGAGGCGAGGATTTCTTCGCAGAGGAGAATCCGGGTTAGGCGGAGGACGTTCCACATTTGGGCTATGGTGCGCGAGGGGTAGATGGTGTAGGTTGGGGGGAGGCCGGCGGGGAGAGCGCCTTTGGGGTCGGCGTTGGGGAAGGGGTGGGAGGTGTAGGTCCAGAAAGGGGAGGCGGATTCGGCGATGGCGGCGAGTTCGGTGTCTAGATGGATGTTTCTGGATATTTTTTCGGTAGAGGTTATGGTGCCGTGGCGAACTGAGGCGGCTAGGTCTGTGGCTTCGAGGATGAGGCCCGTGAGCTTCCATTTGGGGTCGGAGGTGTCGAGGAATTGGGTGGCGTGGTGGCGTATCTGGCGAATGATCGTGTCTGTTGCTCTGCCTGTGCTGAGTGCGGTGAGTGTGCCGTTTAAAGATAGACCTGTCACTGCTGCTATCTCCTGTGCCGTGAAGGATTCCACGCCCCTGAGCTTGACAAGCGCAAATGCGCCTGCGACGTGTGTGTGTTTGTCGTCTCCGACGGCGGACGCGGATTTGGAGAGTTTCTCAAAGAGGTCGAGGAGGAGCGCGCCTTCGAACGTGGACTTCGCCTGTGCTGCGCCGGGTGTCTGAAGCAACGCGTTGATGCTACGGAGTGCTTCGCAGTACTTTCTGCGTCCAAGATTCCGTGCCGTCTGTGATGAGACTTGATGGGACAGGAACGCGAGGCTGACTGCTTCGATACCAAGCGTGATATGGGCTGGGGCATCGGGCGAGTCGAGATAGTCGTTCAGAAAACCCCAGGATCGACCAAAATCCGAGACATAGTACCTGAAGAACATGTCGCGACTTATGACTTGTATGTCTTGAGGCAGGTGCTGGACTTTGATTTTGGGTATGCCATCAGTGCCCAGGTTCTGCCGTGTAATAGCTTCGTTATTCGCCTTTGCTAGGAATCTGTTCCTAACAAGCTCAGATTCATCAGTGAACCGCAACTCAGAGGTGTCTCGATACCCGCTGCATGCTATTCCTACGCGTACACACGAGCTGCAATGGGGGCGTTGTAGGTCACACTAGGGTCAAGTTAAGCTCTGAACAGTAATAATTCCATGCGGAGCATACGCGTAATCTTCTCTTCCTGCACCTTTCGCAGGCTTTAGATGGGATTCCGCGGAACACCATCGTACTGTTGGTTCTAGGGCTGTGACTAATGAAGCACGGGTTGGATAAAGCACTCTCCTGGTAAGGTGCCTAACCAAGGATGTAACGATGGAATCTGCCGAAGTAACTAAAGTATTGTATAATACTCGTGATTGCGCCCCCAAAAAAACTGGCTACAACTCGAATCATTGAGGTAGCATGATGATATACGCTAGTCCCAATATGGTATGCAATTCGTGCAGACTTGATTTCGTATAGCGATTGAAACCTGGTAAAAATAGGCGATGCGATAGGGAATTAGGCTATAGAAAATACCCGTGGATCAGCCTAGAGCGTCGAGTTGCCCTTTTGAGATAACAGTACATGCATTGTGCAGCAGTGAACATGGACCAGTACGATACACTTGAAGACTGATTAGTCGTCTAGTCACTATCATCATCATACCTGTTCCCTGCACCCACATCCCCTAGTAAAACATCATCGGTAGCCGGGCCCTTGTGGTTTCTGACCCACTCAGTCTCCACACGAAAAAAGATCCATATCCATCTCCTGACCACTTCGAGCACTTCCATCGTAAAGATGCCGCCTTCCAAATCATTGAAGTGGTCGAGGTGTACACTAAGTTTCAGACTCCATGTACATCTCAGCAAAGCATCGACGACAACGGCAGCATAGTAAAACTCTTTTGCGTGGAACCAACGATGGCGACGTAAGCCCCAGGGATATTCGGGCGAATTTCGGGTGCGGGCACTAGAGAAGAGCGTCAGATCCCAGTCTTTTGCTACATCCCAGTAATAGGAGTAGCCAGAGTTTACAATGACAGCGAAGAGCCACATGCGATAGAGCGTGGCTTCTGAGACACCGAAGCTCGAAGGGTCCGGCGAGCGCTGCAATGCGCTCAGGATGATCACGGGGAACGCAGTCGAATATTTTGCTGCGTTGGCCAAATGCGTGCCTCCCCAACCGGTGGTCGGATTGATCTGGCCAGTACGCTCATTTCCTCTTTTGACACGGTAGTACTCCGTAATACATTGCCGAAAGCGGATCAGGTAGGGCACCGCGATGATAAAGGGGACCCAGAAAGTTCCACCGCAGTTGCGGTTAGGCGCGGCAGTAGATCGTTGTCCCGACGAGAAAAACATGCATAATGAAATGAACAAATCACCAAGGACTTTGGCATAACTTGTCAACGCATCTGCAAGCAATATGTCTCCGAATTTCCCATCTTGCGCTTCGGCAATGCCACCAGTGCTGATGCGCTTCAACGTGGCGAGTGTGCGCGAGCGTCCATTGCGGCTAACAAAAGGCACTGGCGCGATGAAGCCTATGACAAGGACGAGTAGGTAGAGGTTTGGAAGGATCTCCCAATCTGCAATGGCTTTGGGGTTGCCGTGGGTAAGCGCCCAGAAAAGGAGTAGCGAGAGGGCGAGGGGGATGGAGAGGAAGGTTGCGATACGGTAGCAGGAGAGGTGATGCGGTGGGTGGTGCGGCGAGGCGCGCGATGGATAGCGGATTAGAGAGGGGACGTCGACTTTTATAAGGGAGAGGTAGTGAAGGTTGAGGCCCCATGCCCATATGCCTGTGGAGGTTGTCAGTCGCAAGCAACATTGGAGGCGTGCGGTGTAGGAAGGGTAGCGGAAGGCTGGGTGACAGCCAATCGCTAACAGGGCTATGCATACCAAGCACAATTATGAGAGCGACGCGGTATGGTAAGGGTAGGATCCGAGTGAAGCCATCGATTTCCGGCTCGATGGCAGGATCACCGTCCATATCTCGATTGCGCGTGGAGTGTAGTGGCCGTGGCTGCGTCCCAGCTTTTCTTGTGTCGAGCAGTCATGAAGCTCGTTGAACAAAGTGTCCACGCAAAGTTCAATCCCGTCTCTTCTTAAGAACCCTCGGTCGCGTGGGCGCAAAGGGGGCAAGGTAATCAATTCTCCATGCAAGATAGCGTGTCCACTTCCCCAAGGGCTCTCCAACCAGACTAAAATTAAACACCAGCCACAGTGGTGAGCCACATGCGCATTACGTCAGCGAGCAGAGGTGTGGCACAGCAGTTCCTTCCGAGGGTGGGTCTGAGTGTCCTCGGAAGGAAGCTTTGCCCAAAGTACGCAGCCATGACGCGATCATCGCGATACAAACACAACGCCTCCCCGTTGCGTGCAATTGGGTATATGAATTGACGGGATAGAAGAGTCGCCCAGATCTCGGGACCGGTTGCACTATTTGCTTCTTTCTCCACAGTCTAAAAGCTGCCCTGTTTCTTGAATAAACCCCAAGCCCAAGTCTCAATTGCATTCCGACCTCACTTGCTCACCTTTGACATTCTCAAAAAATATCACGCGCCTACATCACACCTTCACACCACCACACCCACACCCGTGCCAGTGCAACTAGACAGATCCCAAAGCGCACAAGCAACCATGTCTCCTCTTTCCGTGCCCAAAATCTTCATGGCTGGCGGTGCTGTCGGCTTCGGCTACTACCTCTACATGCGCCAATACTGGTTCCCCAACCCCTACAAGACCCAGGGCGTGCAGAACATCGAGGACCGCTTCTCTTCCGGCGGCGCCTCGCCCACACATACTCCCGCTGTTGCGAGCCAGCGCGGTACGGGTACTTTGGAGCCCCAGATTGACCATCTGGAAGTCAACGCATAATTTACTGACATCCATGTGCAGGTAGCTCCACGGCCAACGACGGAAGACATGGTGGTCCCAGCAAAGGCCCTGACTCGGAGTACTTCAAGGCAAACATTAGCAGTCAGCAGAGCGAGGTGAGCTATCTTATGAGACATGGTCCGTGTGTGGGGATAAAAGCTAACACGCCGTGTTATAGCCCGTCTGGCCAGACAAGTTCTACGAGCAGCAGTACAACAACCCCAAGGGCAAATAAGCGCTTTTTGATTGGACTGTCGAGAGAATACATATGAGCTTGGAACTGTGTTGCTGGAGTGCGACAGATACTGTGTGCATGGCATCATTGGCGTTTGAAAAAGAGATGAAAAATACATAATCACGCGTTACCTACATCTAAGGACCTCAATTACTGCGGGATGTATGGCAAATTCGAACAATCAAAAAAAGAAATTCCTAAGCTATTACCCAACTGTGTGTCTATCTCGTTGACATGCAAGTACTCTACGATGCAATTATGCGGGATCCGTGCTGTCATGGTAAATCGCGTCTACCGCTCGTCATGTTTCTGTAAATCGGTTCCCATGCATACAGCCTACGTCACTTCTACATCTTGGCATCGCCGACCCGTCTCGCAGCCGTGTTCCTGCTAGCGTCTACAGCAAGTCCCACGTGATGGCTTAGAGCTACCAACTCGCCTTCGGCATCATACACAAACGCCTCGATGTCCATCCTGCCATTGAGAACCTTCTTCATCTGCACCCTGACCTGCAGCCACTTGACGCCCTCGGGCGGCAGCGACTTCTTGAAATCGAGATTCAACAGCAAAGTCGGGTACCAGAACGGGCCTGTGTCCTTCTCTTTGAACCTCTCTATAAGCTGGGGAAACATGTCTGCCACGAATCCAATCGATGAGTCGTTGAAGTTGCTGCCGTCTGCAAAGCAGAGCCATTCGTCTGCCGTGTTTGTGGAAGCATGGCCTTGTCGCGGAAAGTGGAATAGGACTTTGCTAGTCGCCTTTCGGAAACTGGCGTATGGCATTTCGGCATACCGTTCCCACAACGGATCTTCACCTCTTTCTAGCTTTGATATATCTACAGAAGCTACTGGGGGCGAGAGCTGGTACTCTGTGTCGTACGAGACGCCAGATTCCGTGTCCATGTTGGAATTAGTCACGTAGGCAACGATTTCTTGTCGCCCGTCCTGCTGCATGCTCACGTGCACGACGGAGGTCTGGCGACCAAGCTTGACATCCTCAACAGTGAAGATCGCTGGCCCGACTTGGGTTCGTCGCAGAAACTCCACATGCAGGGCAATTGTGTGGGGTTGGTTTTGTGCCGATAGGGTGGTGCTGAAATGTGTCTTGACTACCTCAAGGAGACTGACATGGTATGGTTAGTGGACGCGTACGCGCATTTTTAAGATTCTCTCACCATCCAGTAACATATCCACCGTTCGGAACTGCGCATATCAGTAAAAATGGCCCATTGTGATAGTATGTCGGATCTGTACGTACCGGTTCCGATGCACCAATCATCATGTAGTGTACAGGAGTAGGTGTTGGTGGAGAGCTTCTGCACCGCGGTAGCTTCGCGCCAACCCGGCATGATAGCGACCTGTCAAATGTTGGACTGAGTATGTATTTCTCGGCGCCCTTTACATGGGTAATGTTGATATTATCAGATAACATTCACGGTGGACGTCACACCGCAATAAAAGACCTCGGGAAGCGCCCAGCTACTATCTCCGCGCTAACACCGAAAGCGGAAAGAGCCTCGGCCCTGGCACTCACTCGGTGTGGGGTGAACCCCGGCTCTAACATCGTCTCACGCCCTTGACAAGCCGCCTCCGACCGTAGGGCGCTCCGCCCGAGGTCCCATGTAGAACGCGTCTGCCTTTCTCGTTTTGGATTCCTTCCACTTTACATCCTGTTTCTTCCGTAACTTCGTCTACGGTAAGCCGAGTAGTACATCATCAACTTAATTGCCAAGATGCCTTCCGAGAGCCAGTACCCCAGCTTGCCCATCCCAGATGTGGATCTTGTGAGTATCTTCCCGCCCCAGGAACAAGCTCGCACCCTGACTCCATGTGCTGACGTTCGGGTGACATTCCTAGTGGGCATTTCTGTTTGAGAGAAAGGAAAAGCCGTTTGCAGATGACAAAGGTAGTCTTACGATTAATCACGACCTTGCTTTATCTAGACACCGAGCTGACGTGGCTGAATAGTAATCTACTATGACCCCTACACCACACGCTCGTATACATACGCACAAGTCAAGGATGCTGCTATTACTTTCGGTAAAGGCTTGAAAGCACTCTGGGACTGGCGCAAGGGTGATGTGCTTGCATTGTACACACCTAACTGTATCGACACTCCAGCAATCACGTGGGGATGTCATTGGGCAGGTGGTGTCCTGTCGCCTGCTAACCCAAACTACACGGTTGATGAGCTTGCTTTCCAGCTCAAAGACTCTGGCGCAAAGGGTTTGGTAACACAGTTGCCCTTTATCAAAAATGCGCAAGAGGCGGCAAGGAAAGTCGGAATGCCTCTGGACAGGGTGATTATCATGGGAGATCAGAGAGACCCTTCATTCAAAGTCAAGCACTTTACAGGTATCATCAACACGGCTGGAAGTGCCAGGTTTAGGAGGACAAAGGCGACCAACCCAGCTGAGGATCTGGCGTTTTTGGTGTACAGCTCTGGCACTACTGGCCATCCAAAGGGCGTCATGCTTACCCATCGAAATATTGTGGCCAACACAATGATGATTAGAGCTGGAGAGGCTGGTAATCTGAAGCCCACTGGAGGACCCACCGGTGAAGGAGACAAGCTACTTGCCTTTTTGCCTTTTTTCCACATCTACGGTAGGCTGGGTATAATGCATTGAACCCAGGAAGTACCCACTAACAATCTACAGGCCTGACATGTCTGATCCACCAGAGCTTGTTCTCCGGCCTTCAGCTTATTGTGATGCCAAAGTTTGACCTTGAGGATTTTTGCAGGTTCATCCAAGAACTCAAAATCACATTTGCTTATGTCGTCCCACCCATTGTCCTTCTTTTGAGCAAGCACCCCTTGGTGTCCAAATACAATCTCAGCACCATCCGTATGATGAACTCTGGGGCTGCCCCACTTACACGAGAGCTTGTCGATGCAGTCTACAACAGGCTAAAGATTCCTGTAAAGCAGGGATATGGCCTTTCGGAAACCAGTCCCACCACTCATACCCAGCCATGGGAAGACTGGAACAAGACGATTGGCTCAGTTGGTAAACTGTTGCCTTATCAGACAGCCAAGTACATGTCTCCGGATGAGAAAGAGATGGCCGTTGGCGAGGTTGGAGAGCTTTGGATTAAGGGACCCAACGTTTTCAAGGGGTACCTGAACAACCCAGAGGGAACTGCACACGCAAAGACAGCCGACGGGTATTTCAAGACTGGTGACGTTGGATACCAAGACAAGGACGGCAATTTTTACATCACAGACCGTGTCAAGGAGCTTATCAAGTACAAGGGTTTCCAGGTGCCACCGGCAGAACTTGAGGGTATTCTAGTCTCTCACCCGAAGGTTAAGTATGTTGTACCGATATACTCCACTTTGAATGCTTGCTAACATTTTTTTTTCTAGCGACGTGGCAGTGATAGGCGTGTACAGCAAAGACGACGCAACAGAGCTGCCAAGAGCTTACATTGTACCCAAAGATGGTCTTGGCAAGACTGACGCAGACGCAAAGGAGATTATAGATTGGTTGAGCACAAAGGTGGCGCACCACAAGAGACTCAGGGGCGGTGTGAGGTGGGTAGATGAGATTCCCAAGTCGATCAGTGGTAAGATCTTGAGGAGGGTGCTCAAGCTCAAGGCGCAGGAAGAGGAAGAGGCCAAGGAGAAGGCAAAGTTGTAGTTTGTACACTTATTTTGAACTGGAATGCCTACATGCAATTGTCATTTCTGAGAAACAGTGAATTTCAATTATTATCTAGAACAAGTGAGGCAAAGGTTCGTGTCAGACACAAAAGGTCTGTTTGACGAAAATCTCAAGGCTGTGTGTCATGTCGAAAATATGCTTTGATATCCTGGTCAATTGGACGAAAGCGTGCTGGTACTTTCGCGATAAAAGGCGCCCCCTTTCTCCGCATCGGTGCACGTGTTCATCGCGAAAATCGGCACAGCCTTTTGCAGTCGCATTAAACTTTCAGAACCAACAATCAAGATAAGCGTGCCAAAAAAGTAAAAGCTCCACACTGAGATAACATCAATTTCGCGTGTGGTGTTGCTGGTGTTCCTGCCGTCGGTAGCTCCAGCCAGGGCACGTGCCTGCTTACAGCTAGCGCCATCTTGGCACCACCGCACAGCCGAGCCAAAATTACCCTCGCAAAACTACGACCTTGAACCCATCGACAATCGACAACATCACGACCGTCACGATGCCGAAAGAAGTCAAGCAAAAGTCAGGCCTCATCGTTGGCATTAACGCCGGCCACAGTACGTCTTCCGCCTACCCGCCTTCGACACTCCCGAATCGCTACAACTGAGATGGAAAAATTGTTGGATGGACGCTAACAATGGCCAACAGAGGTCACCCCCAGGACTCCTGCTCCCAGGATCTCCAGGAGGAAGGGTTTCCTGTCCAAGCGCACTGCTTTCGTCCGTGAGATCACCAAGGAGGTTGCTGGGTACGTTACACTCCATAGTTTAGTCGAGCGCGAGATTGCGCAACTGCTTGTGCAAGGTTTTGCTAACATTATCGTGTCTTACAGTCTTGCCCCCTACGAGAAGCGCATCATTGAATTGCTCCGAAACTCCAAGGACAAGCGTGCTCGTCGTCTAGCTAAGAAGAGGGTACGTCTTCCCTCCGCCCTTGGCGCCTCCACATACGATTCGATTTTCCCACCGACTCGATTCAATGCACAAGTTTCAGAACACACACTGACATAGCAACAGCTCGGTACCTTCGGCCGCTCAAAGAGAAAGGTCGACGAGATGACCAAGGTCATCGCCGAGTCGAGGCGCGCGGGTCACTAAACGGTTTCATGATGTGCGGTGGATGTAGCAAACACGGCGAAACGAGCGACCTTCTTTCCGATTCTGTCCCTGGGTGTTCGGTCTCTTTTTTCCCAAACGGGCGGCTCGACACAACGATTTCGGAACGTCACAAAGCATACCTTATATACACAAAAAGGATGGCACGATTATCGGAGTATGGCAAATGGTCAGTGACGGTTCCTAAACGTACCTAGCATGTGTCACTCAAAATCATGAAATGTGACGATTGGTTCACGCCAAAACACCATGTCCGAGTGCCATGTGCCGTATGGTGTGTGATGAGGTGTGATGTCGTACAGTAGTGGTGATGGTGATGTTGTCGGTGGTGAAGTATTACTACTAGCATGGATGTCAAATTCCTACTCTATTGCCCTTATCAATGGCAGAGTAAGGGCCGAGAAATGCTTAAATTGAAGCGCGCTGCACTTGGAGACAAGGCTGCTCAGACTTCACACTACTCTTGTGTGAGTGAGGTCTCGAGCAGATGCGTGGACATACATGTATACATGCACTGTCATGTCATTAGGTATGCCTGATGTGCAAGACGGTCTCAGCACCAAGTCTGGATTGTATTCAAGGGCTACGAATGTCGAATTCAGACCAGAAGACATGTCCTTTTGGTTTTGCTTCTAGAAGAGAAGCATGTCACATTATTCATTTTGACGTCTACTCTATTAAGAAAACATGTAAACGCTCACAAAAGACGAATCGGGTTTGGGGGTCCGTGTCTATCAATTGAGAAGGTTTGCTGCTATCAATCGTCGTGACCAATCTTCTCCAGCTTGCCCATTTCACGCTTCTCGCCCGTCTCACCGACGAAGCGTATGCGGTCAATGCGCGTCTTCTCGCTGTCGCCGTCGGCATCGGCGACGAAGAGGACGACCGAGTAGACGTTTTGGAACTTGACGAAGCGGAGCTCAAGCTTGGCTGTTTGCGTTTGCTCGTCCCAGTCCGAGGGCTTAAGCTCAATGACTTGGGTTGCGGGGATGTCTTCTGCTTCCTCGAAGCCCAGGTTGTGCTGACGGTTGATCCAGATGTGGATTGTCTTTGGTCGCACGGGGGCTTCGTCGTCATCATCGTCACTGCCTGAGGTGCAGGAGGTGATGTGGATGGTGTGTAGCTTTACGTTTGCGGTAAAGGGCACGTACAGCATGAGCTGGTTGTCCACATCGCTCTCGACCCAGTCCTTGTTTCCTTCTGTGCTGGCGGCGGCGCCTTTGCCGTTGTTCAGCGAGGAGGGTGGTGATGTCTCGAATAGCGTCCGGACGGTTCCAAAATCGCTGTCTGCGTTGAGCAGGTCGAGGCCGCGCACATCGACAGACTCGGTGACGTCGGTGTATCCGCGTGGTAAGCTGGCGCCTACCCATGCTCCGCTTCCGCTTCCGCTGCCGCTTCCACTGGCGAAGCCGCTGCCGCCCTTGCCGTCGTTCTCGGCTTCTGCGGCGAGTGTCTTGATTGCCTCGGAGAGTTGTTGGGGATTCGAGCCCGAGTACTTGCGTATTTGCTGGTTGTTTTTGTAGATGATGAATGTGGGGGTACTAATGGACGACTTGGTTAGATGTACCGTGTCTTGTGGGTTTGTGTAATGTGTATAGGTGCATACTTTGTGACATTGTAGCTCTGGGCAATCTGTGCTTGCTGCACTGTGCTGACTTTGGTGAAGGTGACTTTTCCTGGTCTTGAGAGCTGACCGGCTAGCTGATCATATACGGGCGCGATGGTTTGGCTTGATAGATTTTGTTCATTGTAGACTGCAGGGGGCAAATGTTAGCAAAAACAGGGCAAGGTGGTGTCTTTGGACGTATGCCGCAGCGGCGGCGACAGCGGCATCTTACAATTGACTACTACGACGCGCGAAGATGATAGCAACGAGCTCAGCTGAGCGGGCGACTTGATTTCAACAGTTCCAGACATTTTTGTGGGTTCTACGAGGGGGATTGATGGAATCTGTTGTTGTTGTTGTTCGTCGGGGAAAGGCGCGACGTGCAACGGTCTTGAGTTTTAGTGGGGGCGGGGTGTCGCTCTTCCGTCACCGACGATCACCGAACGTAGATGGGTATGGGCAGTCAGTAGTCAGGCACCGATATACCACGCGGCACGACAACGAAGCTTCCAGAACACCACATTCCCTGCTTACAGCTGCGGATTGAGAGCCGAATCCCGTCTTGTTGATTACTCAAGACACTTGGCTCTTTGATTTGGTGCCGCCGAGTCCCCTTCCACGTCGATCTATACTGTGCCGTCGCCCTTTACATCACTTCCAGCAGCACACGCTCTCAAATCAACACCGTCGCCATCTTCCAGAGGCAAACGCTACCTTTTACCACGTCTCTACGGAAAAGCATCAACAGTCTATACATAACCACATACGCACACGGGATTGGTAAGCGCCCCTCCTGGCGTTCACCGTCCCAGCATTGCGTGCATTCAGACCCTAATCGCCTCTGCATGGCAGGCCCAAACAACCTCTTCCTAAGTTTCGCAGAAGCAAAGCTCCTCCACCTCGCCACCCTCTTTCTCCTCGTCGAACGAAGCGACTCTGCTCGAAGAGCGCATCGCTGGGATTGCTGGTACTTACGTGCCATCTTTCTTGCAAACGCACCCACTGCTTTCCTTCTCGCACACAATCTCTATAGATTGCTTCGCCCATAATGTCGCACGTCGTGGTATTCAACTCGTACGCGAGGTCATTCAAAATTCCCACTACGCCTACAAAGTACCTGACCGAGGTGCGGGATGAGGCGTGTCAGAAGTTTGGTGTCAACAAGGACCAGTTTACATTAAAGTGAGGAAGACCGTGCTGCACATAAATACTATCACTAATATGTCTCTAGATATAACAACAAGCCTATATCCCTCTCCCAGCAGATACGTCTTGCGAACCTGCCCCAGGGCGCCCGATTAGAGCTCGTCCAAGCATCACGATCACCTACTGTCATATCTGTAGCGCTGCAGCTGCCAGCGACCGAGAAGAACGTGCGTCTTACCAACAAGTTCGCGAGCAACACTTCGTTATGGGAGATTCTGCGCCATTTCGAGAGTAGCCCAGGGGCAAACTACAACTTTACTCAGCGCGGTATACCTGAAATGAGTGGTGCATCCGGTGCCGGAAGGTTACACTACGAGCAGCCCGTCATAACCGTCATGCCTAGTCATAAAGAGCAGTCAAGCTTCGTCGAGCTACAACAGACACTTAGCCAGTTGGGTTTCGACAGTGGATCAGCTTTGCTGAAATTGTCGTACAGAAATAGCGGCACTCCTCTGGAAGAAGCTATGGCGCAGATATCACAATATTTTAAGCCTAGTGAGCCTTCCGCTGGAGCAGAGGGGGCGCATGCTTCAACAACCAGCCAATTAGCCTCGATACCGGACCCGGCCCAAGCCGCTCCTGAGGCAGCAGAAACTATCGCTGGTGAGACTGTACGCAAAGATGAGCCTGATCCAGAGCCGATGGAAGTTGAACCAAAAACTGCAACTCAGCCTGCACAAGAACAGGAAGTTTCAACAGACAAATACGCAGCAGAGAATATCGAGAACACCTCTCCAGCTGCAGCCCTAGCGGCAGCAACTTCAACAGCTTCAGCTGCGCCAGCACAGCCCTCTCAGTCTTCATCACAACCTGCCCAGGATACATCACAGCCGGCCGAAAAGACTCGCAACGTCCAAATCTTCTCTGCGCCAACTTCGTCGACTCCACAAGCAGCACGAAATACTTTCAACGAGAGTGACTACCTCCCGACCATCGAACACGCAAAGGCGCATCAAAATGCGCTCCTAAATAAGACTAAGAATACTCGCCTACTTTCTGACAAAGAACTCGAAGAACAAGAGAAAGAACGGCAAGCCAAGATCGCTGCAGCAGCCGAGAAGGGTGGTTCGTTACGGATACGCATGCCCGATGGTGCGCTTATTCAGATGTCTTTTAACAAGAACGATACTGCAGCTGGTCTCTACGACTTTGTTCGCGACTTCTTAGAGAAGAAGAATGAGCCTTTCCAGCTCAAGAACACAGGCCCAACAGGTCGTTTAGTTCTGATCCCACGAGACGACAAGCGACTAGTACAGGATCTGCGTTTCTTCAACAACGAACTCGTCACGTTCCAATGGGCCGAGAACGCGAGTGCAGAGGCAAGGGCGAGCCGGCATGTACTTGCATCGGAGTGGCAGGCAAAAGCTCAAACCTTGAAGGTTGAGGAGCCCGCGCGCGAAGACCCGGTCCAGTCGCAATCAAGTCAACCGCAAGGAGGGTCTGTGACTGAGGGCAAGAGGAAAGCGAACATGAGCAACGAGGAAAAGGAAAGCAAGCTCAAGAATCTGCTTGGAAAGGGATTGTTCAAGAAGAAATAGAGGGGTTCGTTTGTGCGGCATTATGTATGGTGTTTGATGTCTGGATTAGCGAAAGAGTTATGAATAAGACATAATTTTCTGGCCTGTTGAATCCTGGTGACTGGTGTATGGAGTTGAAGGTGTCTCTGCAAATACTTCGCAGGTTTGGGGGTCTTCAACGACGGTGACGTTACTCTTCATTTATGAGCCCTGGCACTCTCTGTGCAACTCATACCGTTTGTGTCAAAAACTACCATGTAATAGCTCTATGCTGAATGAGAAGCAGGTTCACATTCACGTTCACCCTAATTTCCGAAACTGTATGCCTGCACGGCCTGCTCATCATGAGAGCGTTTGCTTTCACTCGACCGCATTCATAACACGTATCGTAAACTGTCACCCTCTTCAAAACCACTGTCTCGACAACGATAGTCAGCTTTTACAGAAAACCTACTCTACACTGTAAAAATGGTGAATAGACCCATCCAGACACTGTCTCTAGCCCCGTCTTCGAGCACAATGGACGACATCATTTTCTCTCAGCCAGCAAGCCAACCAGCCCAGAGTCAAGCTCCTCAGTCGCCACACAAACCAGCATCGTCAAAAGATGTCGCAGTGCCGACTACCCCATCCAAATCTCTAGCCTCCCGACCAAAGAACAGTGCGATTCCCAGATCACCACGCCCTCATCTTCCTTCCACACCCCCTGCACCCCCAGAAGACCACACCTTCCTACCCGCCACGCGCCACGCTCTCGAACAAGCCCTCGGCAAAGCCTCACTAGACCGTCACGAAGTCCTCCTCCAACAAGACAAAGAGCACACTCAAGACTACATCGCGCAGCTCCAAGACGCCGTCAAACAGAAAAACGGTATCACGCCGTCGACGCACGAGGCGCTTCTTTGCCGGGAAGTCACTATGTGGAAAGCCAAAGCGCAGGAGATGGATGAGAGCGCCAAGACGGAGATGCAGTTGTTGAGGGAGTGTAATGGGAGGATGGAGGAGGAGATGATTGCGCTTCGGGCGGTGGCGGAGGGGCTGAGGAGGGAGGGTGAGGGGTTGAAGGAGGAGGTGGAGAGGTTGAGCAAGGAGAATGAGGCGTTTAAGAGGGAGAATGATGGGTTGAAGGCAGATATGCAGAAGGGTCCAAGAGAAGAGGATGAGGAGCGGATGCTACTTATTACGGACCTTGAGGGTGATAAAGAGGAGATGCAGCGCTTGCTTGATGAGGTGATGGATCAGAATGAGGGGTTGAAGGGTGAGGTTAAGAATTTGAAGGACGAGGCGAAGAAGTTGAAGGAAGAGGTGAAGATGCTGAGGGGTGTTGCGAAAGAGCAAGGTGGTGGGGGTGGGGAGGGTAAGAATAGTAAGGATGATAAAGTGGAGAAAAGGAAGATCAAGAACATAAAGAGGAGGGAAAGGGACAGGAAGCGCAGAGACCAGGTACTGTTTAAGGAGAATATGCAGTTGGCGGCTAAGCTTGCGGAGGTGGAGAAGCAGAAGAGTGGTACGAGTGAGGAGGGTCTGGAGGCTGAGGATGAGGTTTGGGAGGGATTTCAGGACAGTGATGAGGGTGGTGAGATGGTACAGGAGAAGGATGATGCTAGGTCTGCTGAGAGAAGTAAGAGTAAGAAGAGTAAGAAGAAGAACAAGGGGAAGAAGGGGAAGAAAGTTATCAAGGAGGAACGGTGAAGGAGATTTGAGGATCGGGTTATCTGAGGTTGGCATATGGGACTCTTGATTGCTTCTGAGGATAAGAGACGGAATACAGGGTTTGCAGGGAGTTGATTGTATAAAGATCTGGGAGTTGAAGGTTATACTTGAGGTATTGGGTGCTAGGTTTGTAATGTATGTCAATGTTCTGAATCATAACTTAGCCCTGCTACTGTTCTTCATTCGCTCATGATATCGATCCCTCATCTCTCGTCTCAGCATCTTACCCGATGGCGTCCTGGGTATCTAAACACAACATTAGCAACAAAACTTCTTTCTTGAGCCAAAGACATACCGAATCAACCACCTCAATCCCACCAGTCAACCACTTATGCCGACTCAACCGTTCTTGAACCCATTCATGCAGCTTCTTCCCTACCTCCTCCTCTCCTTGCTTCACCCCTTCTGCCGTAAGAACAATCCACGCACGAACAAACAGCGACCCATCGCCCCTCCCATTATCAACCCCCGCAACACAGGCATCCCTTACAAGCCCCTCGGGATGATCCAGCAGCGTATCCTCAACCTCCGTCGCCGCAACCTGCAACCCCTTCACCTTGATCATCTCCTTAATCCGATCAAGATAATGAATCCGATCGCACTCATCCCGCATCACCAGATCCCCCGTCCGCAGCCACCCCGGCTCCGCAAACAGCTCAGCCGTCGCCTTTGCATCTTTAAAATACCCCGGTGTTACAACCGCGCCTCGCACCCAGAGCTCGCCTTTGTCGCCCCTGGCTACATCTTTCAAAGTGCCTGGGTCGACAACTCGTGCAGACATGCCAGATAGCAAATACCCAATCGTACCCGGTAACGCAGGTTTCAGCCCAAAAATACCGGCGATACCCGGATTAGCGATGCTGGCCGCTTCGCTGAGTCCGTAACCGCTGGGAATCGGTGTCGCAGCACCTTGCGGCAGTTTCTTAGCGAGCTGGTACGCCACATCTGGAGGCAGATACGCGGCTCCGCTCCCAGCACTGATTACAGAACTCAAATCGTATTGTTCCGTCAAGGGACTCTGGGCGAGTTGGCGGACGATCGGGGGGACAAGATGCAAATGCGTTATTTTGTACTTTTGGATGCTGCGGAGAGCGAGGGGCAAGTCCCATTTTGGAAGCATGACAGTTGTGTTTTTGAGGAGGTTGATGCGCAGGATCCAGACGATCATGCCGTAGGAGTGGTACATGGGGATTACGCCGAGGGTTGTGACGGGGGTTAGGGGTGGGTTGCCAGTGAAGCGGGCGGTTTGGACGGAGGTTATCAGGGACTGGAGGCCCGAGCACAGGCCGTTGGTGTGGGTTATCATCATTGCCTTTGGGAGACCGGATGTGCCGGAGGATTGGAATAGGTAGGCCATGCGGTTTCCGCCGTGAAGTTTGCGTGGGTGCTCGGGAAGATGGGAGCCTTGTTTTACGAGGGATTCGATTGTACGGTGTCCGGATACGGTATCAAGATTCCGGTTGTCGCTCAGTACAATTATCTTTGCGGGGTTTAGTTTGAGTTTCAGAGGGAGATTGTCACCCTCTCCGGATCCTAGTTTGATTGCTTCTTTCAAGACTGGCAGTAAGGTCTCGTGGCACATGATACTCGTTATTTGCATCTTTCTGAGTACCCACCATAGTTCGTACGGTGTACTTGCCGGACTGATACCACCAAACACTAATTGGGACCGGAAACATGCATGTGTTACCATTGGGTAATGGATATGGTTTCGTGAGAATAATGCTAGAATCTCGCCCTCTTCGGTGTCGTCGACAGGGCTTTTATCCAAGCCGAGTGGATTTGGTCCGTCATGGCGCAAAACACGTGCGAGTGCGCAGACTCGAGCATAGAAGCTGTGAAGGGTGACCACTTCCTCCGTGACTGCATTGATGATGAGAGGGTAGTCTTCAGGTAGTGGATTGTCTGGTGGGAAGCAAAGCTCGTGGATGTTCAGGTCATCCGGTATAGGCGGAAAGGGACCGTATGGAGACGTGAATATCGGTTCGTTTGTAGGCTGGTATTTAAATTCACGAGGATCTGGGGACTCGGGACCTAAGAACCTGGACCAACGCGGCTTCAAGATATTGTGTGTCATGTTAAAACGAGGACAGACCAGGTAGTTTGCTAATCAGAAGGCTTCTAGGATTCATTTGAGGCCTTAAGAAATACAGCCTAGGTACAGCCAGGCAAAACATTTCCATATTGGATTCCCGAGGTGAAGCACACCCCGCGTTCCCGCCCACGGATGATCTTCGTGGCGTGCGGGGGAGCCTAGGCACCTTGCGTTCTAGTATATAAGGAGAGCTGGAATCGGTGCGACTTGTTGAGAAACGTCGGTGCTGTCCGAAGGGACGGGCCGAACACCATCCCAACGTCAATCCAACGTTTGGCGTACAACGTGCGCGTACGGATACAATCCCAAAGCAATTGGAAAATCTTTTGATTGGCCCTCAAATCTGGTTTGCCGCCGGCCTTCATGCGGCTCCAAATATGTTCGCATCCGTGTTGCCTACACTGGCTGCAGGTGGCCTAAGACTTGCATACGTACACCTTGCATTGGTTCTCGTTGGTTTCAGCTGACACCTCCTTATACTTGGCCCCGTCGAACTTTCGCGCGGTCATCAGCCAATCCGCAGACATGCCTGAAATATTCTGATCAAATCCCATGTGTACGCAAGAAACCAACACGTGCTCTAGCTGTTGAGGTGTACTTTTAGGCGCGCGTCTGGCGGTGAACGTCCCGAGTTGTTCCCACATGCGACCTAGTAACTAGGATCGCCGCGCTTAAGTCTCAGCCTCAGCCTTCTCCAGTTTTTGGCCCCAAAAACGCCGTAAATACGCCTTGCGCCTTTATAACTCTCGTGCCACCCTTCCCTGTACACTCAGCCGTTATTTTTGGAGATTTACATCTCTCCCTTGAAATTTCTCTTAGCGGGTCCCAGTAGCGGCCATGTCTTCCGACTATGCAAAGAGCGACACAGCACCGGTGAAGAAAGGCACGGTACCTGCACTGTGGTCTGCAAAATCCATCCCTCATAGTCCGGAGTATGGAGATCAATACGCATTGATTGGAGACGCATACGAGCCGAACCTAACAGTAGCGGCTGAATGGGAAATTCATGACCCGTAGGTTGTTTGAAAAGCACGCTGTAACACCGAGTTGAATGCTAAATCCTCGTAGGAGAAGCGAAAGGTTGCCGTACTTGGCTCATATTAAATCACTGTCAGCATCGTGGAAGACACTCCGCCACTTGGCCGATTGGATGCAGGTCGGTACAACGCCACTACGATGGAAAGACATCAAGGAGACGCCTGGAGAGCGCGAACGGCGTGCAAACAAGACAAACATCACGTTTGTTGAGTACAGGCCCGCCTCCAAACCCAAAGCAATCCCCATCAAGACACCTTCGGCACTTCGTGAGACTCTTCAATCGTTATCACATGAGCCTTTGAAGGAAGCTCCTCTTCGGTTATTCGTCGTAGAAGACCTTTCTCAACAAGTCATAGAGCTTCTGGGACAGCGCTTCGATATTGATCCACTGTTTTTCCGTGAACAGATTGCCGATTATGTATGGTACAATACTCGAGACCCATGGGCAGCACCGCCTGCTCTCGTTTCTAGCATGAAGCACCGCCAATGGTTTAGAATGCGAAACATGCGGTTACGATACCACAGGACAGTGGAAGAGTTTGACGAGTCAAAAGCAGAGGCTAACACTTGGAATGTGCTACGCCGTCCCGACAACGACGAGAACCACTGGCATTACATGGACGAAGAAGGCGCCGTAGTGTCTATCATGCGTACACGCACTTGCATGTGGATTGGCAAAGACAAGGAGTGTGGATATGGAACAGTTGGTATCGTGTTACTGGATCCAACAATCAGTCGAGGACAGCCACTTTGTAAGTGTTTCTTTCCACCATAGCTCAGCAAGTCTGGTATACCCAACTTTTACAAGTCCAAACTGACTTCAACAGGGTATGACCGTAGTAACTGGCTACCGACCCCAAAGATGGAAACAAAAATCTATCCGTCGATAAAATCATCCGTCTCGTGGTTTGAAGACGTTGTGCAAATGACAACCGCCTTCCCGTGGTTTGAACGATCAGAAGGCCACGAAATCAACGCCCAAGTCCTCGCCAAACCAACCATCTACACCATCTGTGCGGAATGGCTCGTAGTATGCGACTACGTGAAAGCGCGCCTGAGCCAGATAGAATGGGAGCTAGAAAAGCCGCACCTTTTCCGATCAAAAGGCGACGCCATTGACGACTCACTGAACCGTCTGCATACATGGCGCCGCCAGATACCAGTTTTCCGGGAAATGGTAGCAGAGACACTGGAGCACGCGCTGCCAGCCGCAGCACGCCTGACATCACCATCGCCCCAGCCCGCAACCGCACCATCTTCACCTATTTCTTACACACCCCGGTCTGTCATACCGGACAATGTTATCATTAATTTCGACAACATTGACGGCTTCGAAGACATCGTGCCAGATTTCCGACGCGTCCTCGCTGCCGTCAACGAACTCCAGGAACGAGTCGATCGTCTTACAAGCATCGTCACATCCGAAATTTCCATCGAAGACTCGCGGCGCGGACTCAAGGAGGGTCACGACATGGCGCGCATCACGTGGCTGGCTACTGTATTCATCCCGCTGACATTCGTCGCGGGCTTGTACAGCATGAATGAGAGTGTTTCGGCGCTGAAGTCGACATACGGATGGTACTTTCTCACTGCGATCCCGTTCACGTTGTTTGTTATGGCGATTGGGTGGGCAGTTGGCGGTGGGAGCTTGAGACCGTGGAAGAAAACTACTAGTACGACGCAGAGGGGGGTGGCTGTTATAAAGGATAAGAAGGTGAATTGATGTGAGTGAGAGTGCACGCTGTGTAAGGAGATACAGTGCACGTGATTGTGGCTGGTGGGCGATAGGGGGCTAGGCAGCGACGGCTGTCGATTGGTGTCGCTCACCTCACATGCCGATAACGGCATAGCTGTTGTGGCTGATGATGGCGGTGCGAGCGACGCCAATCGACAGTCGTCGCTCTACCCTCATTGCACAGCGACACTTGTCGATTGGTTGGCCCCTGCCACTCACCAGCCATGCCCATCAGATTGCTGCCGGCCAGATCAACAGGAAAGCAGCGAGGACGGACGACACTAGTAGACAGCTATCGCTGGCTAGCGACATCAAACATCATGATTACAGCTCGTAATCCGTACTGAAGAAGGGCGGGGCTTTGCCTGCCGCCACAGAAATTCCCGGCATCTTGCTATAGATCTGTTGAACGAGAGTATATGTTGTTAGAGTTAATCAGATTGCATTTCTTCTCGCACCAAACACCACTTGTTTCATCCTAGTTTGCAATCAGAGCGTAAATCTGAAGCTCGGGTGCCGATGTCCAAGTCTGCCGGCATCACTTTGCAGTATTCTGTCATCCCTCTCACCATTCTTCCTCTTCTTGTTCTCCCAGCTGAGATACAGACACTGCATGGCCGCTAGAATGATTGTAATCACCAGAGCCCCGAGACTAATCGAATGTCCTAGAATGTATCTCGGAGCGTCACGCTGTAAGTATATGAACGTTCCAATGAATGCCGAGCAGTTCGCAATGGAGATGATGAGCCCAATGCCAACAGCTCGCACATAGTGTGGAGCGAGGTTGTTTGACGCCCAGCCCTCATCATCAATCAGCTACAGTACGGCAGATGAAACGACAAGGAAGCTTACCATAAGCATAGGTGAGCCCTGGAAGACACCAATAGCAACCAAAAAGGTCCCGGCATACCGCACTGCGTTGGTCTTTGCCACGATCAACATTACATACCCACATATACCCAAAACACAACCTCCGATGATGAAGTATCCCCTATTCTTGAGTCGGTCGGAGGCATACGCTGTCCCGATGACTGTAAGAAAAGCGGCCATGTTGGGAGGTACGGTAAAGAGTTGTGCTGTTGTACTTTGATATCCCATTCCCGATATAATGCTCGGGAGGAACAACGAGAAACTCTGGGAGTACATTAGTATCGCAGAATCGCCGATAAGTGAAGATAGTGGCACTTCTTCGCGATACTTACGTATAAAGGGACCAGTAGAAAGAACCATATGAATGCAGAGAGATATGTCTGGGGAGCCAAAAGCGCCATCTTGACCCAGTACCAACTAAACTTCTCATCATCCACATCCACATCGGTAGATCCACCTGCATCAATACGCATACGGCGCAGTGCCCACTCTTTCTCTTCATCCGTGAGAAAATGCGCTGCAGCAGGTGTATCCGGCATAAAGAAGAAGCACACAATCCCAAAGACAACTGTCGCCGCGCCCTCAACTAGCCATCTTGTCAGCACTTTGAAATCCAAACCCACCTATCACCTCGAGACTCGAAGGAGAAAAAAAAGAAGGATGAAATCTTACTAAAAAATATCCACGGCCACCGCTCATATCCCCCAACCCGTATCCTCGCCAATCCGCTCGCCAACAAACCCCCAAACGCCCCAGACAGCGGCGCAGCACAATAAAACAACCCACTCCTCAGCAACATCTCCCCGCGCCTATAAAACATGGCAAGATAAATAATTACACCCCCAAGTATCCCGCCCTCGAATAGTCCCAACAGCAATCTACACGCCACAAGCCCCGCAAAGCTCGTCACGAATCCCATCATCGTGCATACCAAGCCCCAGCATGTGATGAGGGTGGGCAAGTAGATACCGGCGCGCAGCCGCTTGACGAGCAGGTTTGAAGGCACGTCTACGAGGATATAGGGGATGTAGAAGACGAGGAGGGCGATGTTGAAGCGCGTGCCGGTTGTGATGGAGAGGGAGGTGGTGAGGCCGGCTATGCGGGCGTTGCCGATGTTGCTGCGGTCGATGAAGGAGAAGAGCCTTGGCGGTTTATGGGTTAGATGCGTGAAAGGAAAGAAGAAATGGTTTACTGTACCATATTCCGAATAGCCAGGGGAGAATGCGAAGGTCGAATTTGCGGTTGAGGCGCTTGTCGAGGGTGGGATTGGAATCTTCGGGTATGGCAGTGGACTTTTCAATGTGCATGGGCTCTGGGCTACTATGCGGTCTTTCCATTTTGACTGTACTTGTGGCTTAAGATTTATCTATCGTAACTCATGGACTTGGTAGCACAGACTTCAAGACGATTTGCAGTGATGATGCAAAACTTGGGACAAGGCAACGCGTTGCGACACAAAGATGTATTGAAATTTACAGCGTCTAGGAATTCCCAAAACCAAGTGTGTCGAAAAGGAGACAGGGTATTAATGTATATTCTAAATCCTTTTCATCAACACTGATAGGCTACTTCCCCTCTTATTTGTGTCTCCCCACAATTGCGGGGAAGAAGGATTCAAAGGATCGACAATATGATGCGGGGGAGGTAAAGTAGGTTAATTCCTCTGACTGAAAGACATGCCGAAGGAAAGACACCAGCAGTAGTAGTAGTGTGGTGCTCCGCACCGAATCCCACATGAAACAGGATCTATTTTTTGTAAATGGGGATGTACAAGGGAAGACGCCTCCGAAGGGGGATAGCGTGGTGTTGGAGAAAAGAGACAAGGTTGGTAAGCGAGTCGACACAATTTGAAGCAAGCTAGTTTTTTTGGCTGAAAGCCTATCGATACTTGTAATGACGCCTAGACGCTTGTTTCATTGCGTCATGAACGCCCAAAAGCCCCTGGCAGCCACAATGCTCGGCAGATCCACGATGCGATAGAAGAGTTCTGATAGAAGTGTAACAAGGGGTGCGCATACTAGGAAGCATACCAGTCCATTCACACCGTTGGCGGTCCCTGATGCAGCCATGTGCTGGTAGGTCTTGATACCAACGGTGTAGATGATGATGGATTGGACTAGGAAGAAGCCTGCGCCTTGTAAGTAACTGTCTGAAGTTGGCTGTGGAACATAGTGCACTTACTGAAGCTCCTCCTGCCGAGGGCGACAAAGAAGCTGCCGGATAGTATGCTACGGGGCATTTCAAAAGTTTCGATCAAGAGTGTGGATCCCAGGATAATGAGGTAGTTGTCGATGCGAGCCATGGGCAGGTCAAGATCCACGTTTTCGTTGAGCAAGCCACCTGTGTAGATGCCAGTGTGGCTGTAGATTTCGTCGTTGCGTAGGTCCGACCTCCATGAAATGAACAAGAAGTGCAGAAAGAAACCAACGAAGACCATAAGTGCGTAGATTGGCCAAAAGGGGATTGTGGACTTGCCGATGTTGAAGCCTCGCTGCGAACGCGAGGCGAAGTTCATGTTGAGCACGGCGTCGGCAATGAGAAGACCAGTGATGCTATACCACGCCCAGCTCTGCACCCAGAATCCAGTGACGATAAAGGCAAGCATTGCCTTGACACGCCAGGACATACGGGTGTTGGGTACAATGACCATGGTCATGTAGACAGTGTAACTTTGCTGGAAGAGTACAGAGACGATCCAGAGAGTGCCAGAGGGAAAGATGTTGTTGGCAGCTTGAGCACTGTATTGCTTGTTGATCCAGAAAATTTCGAACATGGAGTTGAAATACACAAGGAAGTTGCGCATGCGCATTGGAACGGCTGTCGAGATGTTCCCGGTAGACTCCATGAAGTCAGAGATGTAATCAGTGGATGTAGTACTGAAGGCTGCTGCTGCGATTGAGTACGCAACAAAGGTTGGAATCCATAGTCTGACGCCGCGACGAAAGACACTGGATGCGCCCACCTCCCGCGTCTTGTTAGCGAGATATGGCAGGCATATTGTTCGAGCGGAAAGGAAGATGATCCATCCATAAATCAAGGACGGATTGCAGAAGATGACCGAAAACGACTTGCGGAGTCCAATCTGGTAGGAAGGTCCATCGACATTTTTTGAGTCGGGGACGGCTGCTGGAAGGAAAGTCTGGAAGAAAACAAAGAGAAACGATTGAACCACAAACAGACCTCTGAGCCCAATGAGGTAGTTCTGGTTCATGGCGATTCCAGTCGCATACGGACTCGACGATGACGTAAACATTGCCAAAGGAGAGGATAGAAGTCCGGACTTCATAATGGGGGTGGAAAAGGGCGTTGATGCAGTATGCAAGTTGAGTAAAAGACCTAATATTAGGAAAAGCGACACTTCGAACAGGAGTCCAAAAAAATGGTCACCGCCCTCGTCTCAAGACGTCACAGCCACTTGCAATCAAGGGCGCCCGCACAGTCTCTGTAAAACACATCCTCCCGATAACACGAAACTTGCAGGCCCTTGGGTTACCCCGGGGGAGACCCGAGATCAACGCCTTGGCTCGCCGAGAAAAAAAAACAAAGACTAATGTAGCTCGGGAGATCCTCCTTTTCTGGCGTATTGCCTTGCTCCCCCAAGTGCACAACTGTCAGCCTGAACTGGTTAGATTTAGCTACAGGACGTGTTCCCGCGAAGAATGCGTGGCAGCAAGTTGTGCATGTCAAGGGCTTATTTGACTGTAGCGTCTTGGCCTTTTGGGTTGGTGAAAGGGAAACTGTGGATAAGCGTTACAGCGTTACATACATTTAGTGGATTGAACAGGAACGGCGTGAAAGACTCGTGTCCACCGCAATTTTTGGTCGGCAGCGATTCAGCTAAACCTGCTAGCTGAAGCATACTTACTTACCGGAACCTCGGTTGGGAGGGAATGCGACAAGGTTCTCTTTGCATGGCAGCCTGCGCGTCTTTTGTCTTATCGTTCCTTTGAAATGAGTCGTGACGTCGGTGTAAGACACGGCAGATATTTTCGACAGACGGAGAGCATCTTGAGAGTTGAGTGGCACAAAACCACGAGAAAAGTAAAGAGTCAATCGCCGGCATTGCCCTGGCATATGCCAGCGCCTCCTTCAGCGCCCACAGCGCCTCCGCAACCCCCACTCGACAAGGGTGGTATCGGGGTGGGCGGAGAAAGAAGGGCAAGGCGAAGTGTGCCAAGACGTGCTGCTGTTCCTGAAAGGACAATAAACAACCTGACTCACGAAGGTGAGGCTGAAAAGTAAGTTCCCAGGGGTACCTGGATACATTCCACATTTGTTTTGGCGCCCTGGAAAGGACGCCGTGTCCGAGCTCGACTTAAGCTTGCGGCCCGCCAATGTCAGCCGCCAGCCACAAACACGACTTGAGCGATGTTCATCCCACACGTTGCACTAATGCGCCCAGAGTGGGGGCCGAGCACATGCTCGGCTTGTGTCGATCGGCCGCGTGTCGGTCATGTAATCTCCCGAAGATTTCCTGAAGTCACTCTTACAGCCTTACACTGGCCGCTTGCAGGGAAAGCGGTCAGGCACAGTGGGGCGGCGATATGTGCCCGTTGCCAATCTTTGACTGAACGGGAGGATCGTCGTATCTGAATGAGTCGAGTCCACCTTTCGCCGACCAGCGAAGATTTGCGAAATGGGAATTCTCTGCAACTCCCATAGCGCCACGTCCGTTGCTGTCGCCATGCATGCTCTAGAGTAGTGACGAGATAACACAACATGCCGAGTCATATTGGCTGACATCTCAAACACCCGACAATATCTCCACTCGATGCATCGCAATGTTGAGAGACCCAATCGACTGGTTCAGGAGACGCTGTCCGTCATTGCACCTCATCAACACAATCCACGAATAACAAATAGCGAACGGGAAGGGCTTGTGTAAGGTGGAAAAAAGTATTTTTGATATTATGGAAATATGTTTGTGGGCTAATATCGCCCATGTCCTCTACTCAAGCCGCGTAACTATTTATACCTAAGAAAAGAAAAGAGAGGGCTGGTCCCTCCAGCCCATTGAGGGTATGCACATAATCATTAAGGTGGAAGGTCCAGACTGCCAAGCCTACTTCCTGGCTGTTGGGTTCCAAGAGCTGTACTTGACAAGCTGGCGCGCATGGCCATACAGACCAATAGTCGCACTGAGAACAAGGTAAAATGGGTACAAGACGGAGAAGATAATGATCATCTTCCTTGTCACAAACTCGGACTTGACCTGGTTGGTGATCCAGAGCGTGGCGACCAAGCAGATAACACTGTAATCGGAGGTTAGCGAGGTCCAGGATCTAAATGATGCATCGGTGACACGAACCTAATAATGAAAAGCCACTGTGAGATGGGGTACTGGAAATAGACCAGCTTCCACAGCTCCTCCCCGTTGGTCGGGAACTTGACGATAACGAACGATGCCACAAGACAGGTGTACTGTGTAACCAGATAGTAAGATGACTCGCGGATGAGCAGCAGCGATAGCATGCCAAATCGGGCTGTGAAGCTCCGCTTGGCATGTTCTTCATGTAAGGGATCCTTGACGCCGTTCCAAACCATCTTCATGTGACGCATGCTGGCCTGAGCCCATCCCTGAGCCCATCGGAGCCGCTGCTTCCAAAAGGCGGCAAAGGTAGTAGGAGCCAGCTCATATGAAGTAACATTGAGATCATGAACGGTCTTAGCGCCCTTGGAGAATGCGCGTAACGCCGAATCAATATCCTCGGTTAACATGCTCTCGTCCATTTTGAGATCACGGAGGAGTGATGTGCGCCAATAACCATTCGATCCGCAGAAAAGTCCGAAGCCCCACATTGTCGAACGACCAGGGTGCGATACCGCGTAGATCTTGTCAAATTCTACGGATATCATGTTGGTCATGAATGAGTCTTCGGAGTTGAACACGATACACCGGCCTTGGACGATATCCACGTCCTTCTCTGCCATGAATCGTTCAGCCGCCCACCGGGGTGCGTTGGGGTGGGGGTAGTGGTCGCAATCGTAGATCGCAATTAGGTCTGATCCAGTATCTAACGTGAAGAAGTAGTTGAGATTGTCGGCCTTGGACGTCGAGCCGGGAACCTTGATGACTCTAGCGTGAGGGAAGCGAAGTGGCAGCTCGGCGAGTTCCGTCTCCAGCGGCTCGATTGGCTTTGGTGTGTTGTAAAGTACATTAATTCGGATTCGATCGCTAGGGTAGGCAATCTCCTTGAGCGCGTAATAAGCGCGGTCCATGATGATGTCTTGCTCGTTGGGCAGATAGGCAACGATGAGAAGATCCAAGATGGGTAGTTGGCTGTCTGGCGTAGGAAAGTGCCATTTCCTGTCTTGGGCTTGAGTGACCACTTCCCTTGCCTCGCGACAGGGCGTGATACTGAAGAAAGCCTCGAGCACAGTGGTACCGGCGATGTAGAAATTGGTACACATGTAGATAAACCAGAAGATAGCAATGAGGCTATCACTGCAATACATGTACATGCAGACCGAGAAAACATAATAGGAGACGACGAGGCCGAAGGGCGTCCATTCCGAGATCCACGAAGATGACTGTCCAATAACTTGGGATGGAGAAAAATTACTCTTTGGGGCCGTCTTTTCGGTGATGCAGTTTGTAGGAGAGGAGACGTCTCCCACCTCAATTACGCAATCCTTGTTGTCAGACATCTTGTAACGAATGAATGATGTGACAGTAACGATCGGAGAAGGAGTCGAATCAAAGAAAGTGTGACTACTGTAGCAAACCTCAAACGAGTGAAGGGACGGACACAGATGATATATCAGGCTCCAAAGGCCAAGTTTGATGACTGCGGGAAGAAAAGGGTGTGGCGAACAGCCAACGTCCTGCCAAAAAAGGGACCACTGTGCGTATGGGTTCACCTGAACTGTGCAATGGCGCTCAGGAGAGCTGGTCTCCGCATCAACTTACCGCTCGATGTAGGATCGGCAGTGGCATCAGCAATGCCCGATCCTAACATTGGGATGCAAGTGGGTCGACCGTGGGAGGCTCAAAGGTCCATGCTTTTGCTCGAGTATTTTTCACATCGTCCAGCGAGGAGAATTTGCCAAGTTGGGCGTCGAACCGGCGTTCCTCATGCACAGCAGCCAATGGGATGCTTTTTTGTAGCAATGTCGCCCACATTTACAACATGCTTCTTGCATGCAGAATAGACAAGTCGAAGGGGGGGTGGCCAAGGGCCAAGGGCCAAGGGCCAGGAGGCTAGGCGAAGGAGCATTTCCGTTTGCTCTAGGGTGATTATCGATCTGGGTATGCGGCATATTGGTGCGACGGAGGATGCGGAAGCTGAGAGATCGATCACTGCTCTAGGGCAGGTGTAGTTCGGACAACACATTCCTACAGGAGCAGGGAATAGCCACTAGAGTACAGTAGAGCGTGCATTGGGGAGGCTAATTATCCTGGAACAAGGTGGAACACGGCGAGATAATGCTGGTGGCGAAGATCACTGATGTGGACGGGGGTGGCCATGACGGGTCGTCAAGATCATCTCAACAAACGTGGGAGGATGGAGGCAGAGTGGAAGACAGGCCCGTGCTAGCGTTGGCGCACGGCCCGCTGCAGTGCACGTCTCCCGACCTACTGGTGACGCCTTGCACAACCCCTCCGCCTCTTGCGACAGCTACTCAGGCCAATGCGACAACATTTGCCATGATTTCACTATCTGACCGACCTGCCAAGCAAAGCTTGCAGAGCTTTTTGGCTTGTTGCATGGCGCACGGCTGAAAGCCCGCTCCGATAATGACTTCAAGGGGCCCGGTCAAGGCTGTGTGGCAGAAAGGGGAACTTTTGCCGCCTTCTGCTATCCACTGAAGCGCCCGCCATGGCTGCGGCTCCTCCTGGTCCGAAAAGCGTCGTTGCACGTTTGTTCTAAGTCTCTTTGATTAGTCCTGGGTGACTAGCGGCATGACGACAGACAAATACCGCCTTTTGAATTTGAACACGAGGTTTCGTTCTCCTTCCTTTGTTCAGTCATCCGGTCTTCCTCATGTTTCCCTCGGCTCTCCTTGGACTTGCCTTGGTGCAAGCCCTGCCTGTCTTTGCAGAGGTTTCGCGTGGAGCAGAGAACTGTACGTGCGGGTTCTACGACAGTCAGACCAACGAGCTTTACACCGACTCTATCATTGTCTACTTCAATGAAACATCAGGATTACCAGTCGACTTCGTGGCTGAAGAATTCGAGCAAAACTATGCCAAGGACTGGGTATGATACTATTCTTATATGTTACGAGTGTTGGGTTCGTTAGCTAATATCCTTCCTTAGAACGCTGTCTTCCGTGAGGGTGCCTCTCCGGACAATGTACGGCTTGACAATGGCAAGTCTCTGCAGCTTGTAGTGCAGCCTACAACAAAAGAACATCTCGTCCAAGGTGCTAGTCTTCGGACTAAGAGGCGTGATATTCAGCATGGCTCTTTCCGGACCTTGATGAGGCCTGCATATCTGGACGTCTCGGGCACAGCTACCACCATGATGTGGAAGTACAACGAGACTGAGATAACAGAGCTCAGTGTCATGAACAATGATCGTCTAACCCAGCCCTGGGTTGGTACATTTGTCAACAACGAATTTACCACCCGCAATCTTGGAATGAACTTCAGTCAGCTCATTAACGGAACTGCTGCAAACAGAAACTACACCACATTAGGTGGTGGGCTTAGTAATGGCAGCATCAATCCGTGGGACTTTACTGAGTACCGTATCGACTGGACGGCAGACTACATCAATTTCTATATTGGTGGCAATCTGACCCGCACTGTTGAGCACAAGAAAAACAAGGGGATGCCATCAGTCCCCTCTGCTTTATTCTTCAAGCACTGGTCGACGGGTAACCGTTTTTCGATGCGTGGGCCTCCCCGCAACGGAGAATCAGTTGCTGACATTGGCTGGATCCGCATGTTCTTCAACTCATCAACGATGAATGAAGACTCTCGCGAGGACTTTGTTGCACGCTGTCCCCTGACTGATGCGTGCGCCATGGACGACTTTGAACTGCGTGGCTCTACCCCATACGCGGAAGAAGCTCTGGATCACTGGAAACAGGATGGACATAAAGACATCAAGCGCATGCCGGCACTCTGGATCTCCGTCTCCTGTCTTGCCATCTCAACCCTTCTTCTTATACACACATTCATTCGACGTCTAGCGCCCAAGATCAGCAGAGGAAGTTCCAAATCAGCCCCAGCAGCTCCAGCAGCATCAGAAGGGGAATCCCCAAAGCCTGAAACCGGTGCGGGTACCTTTAGTGAGAGTACATTTACTATGGAATCTACGGATA